GGAGCCCAGCAGGTCGAGGCTGCGGTGGCCGGGAGCGGCCACTGCACTCCAATCAGGGTGACAGAGTGAGACTCCAACTCAAAAAACAAAAACAAATGCCCGTCAGTCCCTTCATATAGACAGACATGTGGGGGGAAAGTGAGTAGGAAAGGACAGCAGTCCCTCCTCCACAGCCCCAGTAGTTAGCTGGAGAGGGATAGGGAGCGCTGCCTGGCAAGCACTGAACCGTGGGCATGCCATGCAAGCACCAGTAGCAGACGCCACGGTCAGCAGGAAAGTGTGTGGCATCTCCACAGTCCTCATGACCTCCTACCCACGAGATACAGGTGAATTTCAGTGAGAAAACGGCAGCCTGACATGAGAGACACGGCAGGTGCTATGAAGACCAGGCGGCCCAGATGACAGTCCATGCTGGCAAGACACATGAGCCTCCGCCCCAAGGAAGACACACGCCCGTCGGTGAGTTCTGCTCAGGACGCAGAACCTTAGTGCAATCATGAGAGCCAGAGAGCCCAATGAGGGACGCCCCACAGCTCAGGTCCACCCTCCCGACCCAGGGCTTGGGAGTCCTGCTGGCCAGCCCGGGGTTCCACGTGCTGAGCTGAGAACCTGTTACCAGCCAGGGGTGTCCACGTGTGGGCTCGGGCCACAGGCATCTGCACTCACTTTGGTGAGACAGAATCCGAAACTATTCCCCAGTGAGCACACTGCAAACCCTCAACAGCCACAAGGGCGAAGGCAGCTCCACGTAGGACAGCATGGTCTGGACTGTCCCTTACACTGCAGAAGGTCCTAGGAGGCACTGATCCAGTGAGGAGCGGGGAGATGCTATCTGCTCACTCCCACGCCATCCCAGGGCGGAGAGCATCTTCATCCTCACTGCCAGCTCCTGTGCCAGATCTTCCTGTCCTCCCAAGCCCAGGGGGATGCCGAGGCCATCCACCGTCAGTCTGTCTGCTGTGTCCAGGAGCCAGCCTGGCGTGGGTGTGCCGGGCGGGGAGCTGTGGCCAGGCCCTCCCGCCTCCTCCCGCAGCACCCGACCCGCCTGACCAAGTCCACGCACCGGGGTCAGGGTCCTCCAGCTTCTCCTTGAGCCGGGGGAAGGCGGGACGCAGTGACTCTGGGTACTTCAGGAACACCTTGTACATGATCAGCACGGCCTTCTTACGGATGTAGGGCTTGGTGTGGGACATCTGTGGGGACAGCACC